GAGTTAGAGAGGCTCCAGAGACCGAACCAGATTACCGCACTACAGACGGATTGCTGTTTGAGAAGACTAATGTGTTTGACCGCCTGTGCGTCCCCAACAACGAGGAGATTCGTAGTCTGATCCTAGGGGAATGCCACGATACTGAGGGACACTTCGGTTGGCAAAAGACATTAGCCAATCTAATGCGCGCGTATACCTGGCCCGGAATGAAGAATGACTGCATAGAGTATGTTCGCAGTTGTAAAGTGTGCCAAAGGAATAAGTCTACAACACGCGCACCCCTAGGTCTTCTCAGACCCTTGCCTATTCCGGATCAGCCGGGAGACTCAGTGTCCATAAACTTCATGGACACCCAAGTCAAGAGTAGACATGGTAAGAGCCAAGTCATGGTCATAGTTGACCGTTTTAGCAAATATGCAGTTTTCGTTCCTTTGCCTGCAGAGGCACGTACGGACTTACCCAGACTAAGTCGCCTACTTGAAACTGTGAGGGGCGACGGTGCTCATTAGCCTGTTCTATCATTCTAGGTTGGGTCTTTCTGAGGTTCTCAACAACAGTTGCTAACTCTTTCTCATGCTGCAAAGCAAACTCCCTGGTTCCGGGCAGTAGTCTGTGGATCTGATCCCGGTTCAGTCCTTCGAACGGTCTGCGTGGTCTAAAGGACTTGTGCAACTCATTGGGAGTGCGGCAGGTGGATAGATGCACGTTGTTGTTGTATGCACTAGCTACTTTAGGCAACATCTCATCCCAGTTAATCTGATCTGGTCTAATGTACATGCGCAGAACTTGCTGTAGGATCTTGTTCATCTGTTCTGTCTGACCGTTAGTCTCTGGGTGACGGCCAKATGAVATTAACAACTTAGATCCGTAAACTCTCATGAGTTCTTGCCAGTTCTGGCWGGTGAAGCGACTATCTCTATCACTAACAATTGACAATGGGATTCCATTCTCACTAACCCTTGGAGTTGAACCCGTGACCTGCACGATAGCCAGTGGTAAGTAGGTCGCCGTAGGTTGTAGGCTGTAGGGAGATTCGAACTGTAGACCTGTAAGGTAGGAGTCCAAGTAGAGTCCAGAGGCCTAGCTGTAGTCCTTCTAGAAGGTCGGCAAGTGGTCAAGTGGTGAGTCTAAGGTAGGCCCACGTTTTCAGACGAACACAAGTGGCAAGGTCAACAGGTAGGACCTCAGTGCAACTGCACTGAGTCGACGGTACGACTTCCTACAGTCAGCAGAAGGGTCTAGAGAGTCCYAGTCCAGTCCAGCAAGTACCACATGGGGACTGTGAGCACCAAGGGCCGATGGCAAAGGGTAGACCAACGAGTTTCTGAAGTATAAATCAAGAGGCAGCGCCCAGCCATTCATTCATTCCTGYGTGAGCCATGCGGAAGCGCTGCCACAGCGACTTGTGCAAGGAGGTCTGCAGATGAGCCCGGAGGACGCAGTGGGCAAGAGAGGAGGAGTTAGCATAGCCATAGGTTAAAGGCAGCCATAGCTGCCATAGCTGTAGTTAGTAGTGAGTGTGTGTGTGTGCTCGAGTGTTAGAGTGATGCGTGTGGGATATCCAGGGTGATCCAGTGTATGTGAACAGTGAGATGTTTGGGCGCTGAAGTCGCCATAGCCAATTGAGAGTGAACTCCTATCTGAAAGCCATATCTCTGAGTTTTGAGTGGGCGCATGTCGCCAGTATGCTGCGTTGCTGTTTACATGCATGAAAAGGGTGTTTGAGAACGAGTCTGATTGCAT